AAGCTTATTGCCTTGTAAGGAGAGGATGGCGTTCAAAGATGGGGCCGTAAATAACATGCCTCATGATCTCTCCTCCACATGACATAACTTCAAAAAGTTGGCAATACCATGCCCAATTCCAAGATGGGCAATTCCATCAATCATTTGTCTTCCATAGGCAACTGAATGCCTATACAGGGGAATAAGAGATCCATCAAACAGAAATGAATGTGGGCCAACTGGTGTTAGTAAGTCAGCGTCATACGTAAAGTGTCGATTCTGAACACATATACTACAGGACTTGAGCACTGAGTTTGGGACAGGCTTACAAAGAAGGAGAGACAGGTAGCATGCAGGAAATGTCTGCACACTAATCCAATGAGGAGGGAGAATTCAGGCACTAAAGCTTAAAGAAGGGAGGAGGGAGTTTGCCAAGTGCAACCAAGAGGGCGAGAAAAAGCAAGGAGTACATTTGATTTAGGAGATCAGAAGACATTCACGCCATCAAGGAGGACTCTAGAGAGAGGAAAATCTTGTTCATCCAATGATTAAGTAGACACTGAAACAACATGCTGATAACATTTGAATACACGTGTAATGGAAAAAAATAGAATAAATCACACACTAGCAAAGGAGAGTTATAAGATTAAAGGGAAGATTTCCCAAGGTAGGAGCTAAAAGAGGAGATAGGTGGATGGGAAGAGGCCCCAGGTATGATGGAAAGGGTATGTTAAAACATACATGTCACAAAAGAGATGGGGGCGGGAGAAGCCAAGGCCCTGAGACAAAGTAGGAGTACCTGTTCCCTCTTCTGAAGGAAAAGGAAGCCAGGATGGTCAGAGAAAGGCATCATGAGGTCTACGGTCTCAAGCAAATCTATGGTGTCCTGCAGGATGGTCGGAGACAAAGGCAGAGAGGCGTGGGGTAGGAGACCCTGCAGGCTTGACGAGCACATGCAGGGAACAGAAGACCTGTGCCCAGAGATGTTGCTGAGAGGCCTAGAGATAAAAGGAAATATCGTAGAGGGGTGCTCAGGTCCAGTGTGCATCCATGGTGTGAACTGGCGGCACGCCCACTGGGATCCAGTGAGTATCCGGGGTATGAACTGGCTGCATCAGTGGTGTGCACTGGCTGCATGTCTGCTCAGTGTGAATCTTTATTATCAGGTGATGCCCTCCACTTGCTCTTTTACTTTCTCTCCCTCCGAAACATACAAAAAGTCAGGCAGAGAAAGAATAAGAACAGGCTTGGGGTAGGGGGCACTGTTCAAGATGCACAGGCAGGTGGAAAGGAAACCTAGAGTACCAAACCCAATCTAATGTGGCTTTCTTAGCCTAACAGCCATCATGGCTGCCGATATTTGGTAATGACTCTGAGAGAGGCAATGTGCCACATTCTGCTCATATATGTTCTTTAATCTTCACAAAGGCCAAAGAAGTAGCAAATTACTATTCCAACTTTGCAAGACAGAGACCTGAGGCTCACAGAGGCTAACTGAGCCCCTCACAGAAGGCAGGGCTCCAGGTCTTCCAGGGTCTGAATGCTTGTGTCCCGCATCCCCCACTTCCTATGTTGAAACCAAACGCTCTTGTGAATGGCATCTAGAGGCACAGTCTTTAGGGTCATGAGGTTGGCACTCTCATGAACAGAGTTAGTGTCCAGAAGAACGAGGGATGAGGAAGCCTGTTTGCCCTGGCCACCATGTGGGGATGCACGGAGAAGGCACAGTCTTTGCGGAAGGCCACTCACTGGACACTGAATCCACTGGTGCCCTGATCTTGGAATTCCTGGCCTCTGGAGCTGTGAGCAGTAAGTTTCTATCATTTATAACTTACCAAGCTTAAGGCATTTTGCTACAGCAGCCAAAGGAATTACCATCCTGCCTCTTGGTAGTAGTGCCTCTTGTCAAAGTGTTCAGGGTTCTATGCTCTTAACTGAGAACTAAGCTTCTCAGTAAAGAGTAAATTAACAGAACAGCAGCTAAGGGAGCCTTTCAGCTTTGGTACATCCAGACAACCAGCATCCGTGGCCTCAAGTGGCTCCCCGAGGCCAGAACTCAACAATAGACAGTGAAAGCTGAAGCAGAAAACAGGAGCAAGCTAACTGATACCTCTTCTGAGAGTTTCATGATATGGCTAAATCTATTTGTAAAAAGTCCTAGGGATTTTTCCTGCTTTGTAGAAAGAATTACATCTTCAAAATTTAACAAAGATAAACAAGTCCATCATGGGCAGATGTCCCCTATTATGGCTGGGTTACAGTTTGGGTGCCCTCCAAAGTCCCATGTAGGGGAGCTTCGTCCACAAAGTCTTATACTAATGGATAATTTATTAATGTTCATGGATAATGGTTAAGGATAAGGGTAGAAATTAGATCTGATTATGGTGTCTGGGAGGTGGGCCTCGTTAGGTCTTTAGGTCACTGGAGCGTGCCCTAAGAAAATGCTTCTTGCAAGAAAGGGGGCTGTCATAGCTGAGTTGAGCCCAGCTTTCCCACGTCTGGTTCATCAAGTGAGCCTCCCTTCCCATGACTTCTACTCTACTAACCACCACCCTCATCAGATGCTAGAACAAAGGGGCCACCTGATCTTGGAGAGGAAGCCAAAATAAACCTTAATCTTTGCTTGTAGCTCTTCTCCAACATATCAGTTGTAGTTTAAAAAAAAAAAAATCACCACTTAGGAACGTCCCCTTCTAATTTTTTTATTAAAAAAAAAAGTATCCATTTATGTAGTAAACACTGTTCACTAGTCACTGGGCAAGAAGCACTCAAAGACAAAGGAGAGGGATAGACATTCGGTGCAGTGGTTAAGTCTTAGCTTAGGATGCCCACATCCTTGTATCGGAGTGACTGGTTCAACTCCTGCCTCTGCTTCCGATCCAGCTTCCTGCTAACATGCACCCTAGAAGGCAGCAGATGATGCTTCGGGTAGTTGGGTCCCTGCCACCCAAGGTGGAGACCCAGTCTAGGTTTCTGGCTCCTAGCTTTGACCTGGCCCAGCCCTGGCTATTGTGGGCATTTGTGGGAGTCAACCAGCAGATAGAAGACCTTTCTTATTCTCTCTCTCTCTCTCTCTCTCTCTCTCTCAATTTAAGAAGGTAAATAAGTAAACACAAGAAAGACAGATTCTGAGTCCGGGACCATGAATGTGCACTCTGCACGAGCGCTCTGGGTGACTCTTGTACACTCTCAGGACCGAGCACCACTGGCTCAAATTAGCAGACAGTGACAATGCAAGGAGGTCAACGGAGGGGTACTCAGGATTTCAAGAGAACACACAGCAGCAATGCCTAACCCAACTTCTGAAAATACCTTTTAGGGAAATAGTAGCTATCCAGATTAAAATGAAGCAAAGAGCTTTTCAAATGAAACTAATAGGCAATGGGGGGATGGGAGCTGGTTTATGTGTTCCTTATTGAACAAAGTAGATGATTAGGAGAAAACTCAAGTTATCATCATTGCTTCAATTCTTCGTTGCACGTTCAAATACAATTCTAGCAGATTCTGGGTCAGGGTGTCTGGAGAAACACCTGAGACTGCATTTCTAAGGCACTCCCAGGTTATGCCCACATACCTCGTCCTCAGCCACATAATGAGAGGGACTTGGGTCCATGCCCCCATGGAGCCTCATGCAGAGTTCAGAACTCCTATCCATCTGTAAGGAACCCTCATTCACCTCTTGGAAGCCATTCTCCTCTTAGGCTGCAGCCAAGCCTAATCTTAACTACATTTAGTCTGCATCAAGTATCTCCAAACATTTTTTAAGGTAAAATTCAATTAATTGGCTTTTTCAAACCACACATGAAAAAGAACAGGCCTGTTCCTGCCTGACACACGCATGGGAAACTAGTGAGCATGTCTATGTGTCTGCACTTGCATGGGTTGCTTCTAAAGATCACACACACGCCGAAAAAAACACCTTGGAGATCAACTGACATGACAGTGATGTGCTGATCTGACAACAATTCCCAAAATGTGTTCTTTCTTACATTCAAATTCAAGCTCAACTGGTTCTGATTGGACCTCTATATTTCATTCCAATGTTTTTTAAAGACTCACACAATGCAACAAAACACTTGCAATGGTCTTCAAGCAGATAATAAGACCAGGAAAAAATTGCTAAATTATAATCATAAAATAGTGTCTGGAACATAAACAAAGATTGAAGTTGCCATGGTATTCTAACTTTGAAAATGTAGAAAACTATCTAGAATCCTATATTATATGCTTTTTGAGACTTGTAAGTATATATTTAGTCTCGATCCTGTCTTCCTTCAATCATTTCCTCCAGAATGACTATGGTAAAGTGAGGACAAAATAACCACCCTGAGATAACCTATAATCAAACAGTAAATGAGAACCATGCCACACGACTATCAAGACCCGAGCTAAAGCATGCCCTTGTAGATCAAGATCATTCTTATAAATCTTCCTGATTTTTTCTTCACTAAATATTTACTGAGCATTCACTACATGCCACAAAATATGCTAGACACATAGTGAATTTTACCCTCATAATAAAATATAATTGGCTGAGGTCCAAGATTGAGCCTTTCTATGTGAATTTCATGATCAAGCTGCTAACGTAACAAAGCACCAATGTGTTTGGTTGTTTCTGCAAAAAGCCAGGCAGAAAATGATTCTGAAAACTAAAGTTTTGTGTTGCCTATGTGAGAAGCATCTGCACATATTCATGAGTCACTGAGAGGCAGGGCCGGGACAGCGTCCACTGTGTCAACTGCCCAGAGCTCAGTCCAACTGCCCCTCCTGCCTCCCCCACAGCTTCAGACACAAACCCTGTATTGACACAATCCAAGTAGATGTTGGAAGAGTACAAGTCTCCCATCCATCGCCACTGTATGTGGTACAGAAATCAAACCACACTGCAACTATTATTGCACAGATTTTTCATCACAGCCAGAGAGAGAAAGGGAAAGAAAAGACCTATCCAAAGACTATGAAAATTCTAATATCGGAGGGAAACCGAAAATAACTGCCCAAATAGTGGCCGAGTTACTAACCTGGTCAATTTCCATGAGCTTGGGGTAGGCGCCGGGCCATTCTATGGCCACCTTGACGATGTCCGCAGGTGGCGGCATTGTAAGCCCCGGAGTTGTCCAAAGCCAGTGGAACTGGGAATCCTACTGCGTAGACAGCTGCACGTGTCTAAACCTAATGGGGAATGAGAAAAAGAGAAAGAGAAGTCGCTCAGTATAAACGCAGGGCGAATTTTGCTTCATCACTTCCTGTTTTCACTGGCAGTTTAGGTATGAGAAACAGCTCCCTTTGGCGCTCGGGTACTGAAGACACAGGGGTGCAGCCAATGGCACCACAGGCTCCTGGGGAAAGAAGAAAGATGGGGGGGTGGGGCGGTGCCAACGCCCTAGAGTCCAAGCCACCAGAAAATGCTGCCCTGGAGCGACAGCCCGCACAAGCCCTCGGTACCAAGAAAGCTGCCCCATAGCACCAGGTTGTGCTCAGAATGGTGCCCAGGGTCTGAACCAGCAGGGCTTACTCTGTCCAGAGACGCATGTAAATGCCTGGTGCTGAACAGTCTCCGGAAACACAGATTGCCCAGGAAGTCATGGTCAGGAAGCAGCTTTTATTTAAAGCATTTTCTGTGTGTCACAAATAGGTTTCTGCACTATAGCAACCAGGATATCATGAGGAACAAGAAATACCCCAAGAGTTCACACACGTGCACTCCCTCCCCAAGGTCAATCCACACAATGCGCCTTCCAGGAAGACAAGAAAGGGCACACATGCAGAAAGGATGGCAATCGGAAGAGGCCTTGAGTTCTCATTTGAATGAACCCTGCAGCTTACACAAAGGATGTAACAATTATTCTCTACTGCATCTTCCCAGGTTACCCCAATTCTTCTTTCAATTTGTATTTTTGAACAGGCAAAGCAGTCCCATGATTCAAACCTGTGTGTGTGCGTCTTGGGGTGTATGAAGACAGAGTGGCAAGTCTCTCTCTGCCCATGTCGCCCAATACCCTTCCACTTCCTAACCCTCCAGCTATACAAAATTATTCATTTCTTAGGTAGCCCTCCGACACTGATTTACATATGGAAGACAAATACAAAATACAGTATTTCTTTTCCTCTCTTTTTATATAAAAGGTAGCACTGCTTTTTTAATTAATATATCTCCTAAATCTTTCTCTGTTGCTACAAAGAGAGCATCTTCATTCTACTTACAACTGCACAGTTCGTCTGATGGATGTATCCTCTGTGATGAACCAGTTTTCTGTTCTGGGCTTTCTGGCTGATTTTTTCTGCCCGTAGCTATTATAAACAAGCTTGAGATGCACAAATTTATGCATGCATCATTTTTCACATGTGCAAGTCCATCTTCACAAGCAAAATCACTGGATCATAGGGTATATGCAGGTAATCATAAATTTTGATAGTGATTTCTGAATATCCATTCCCTCTGGCAACTCATGAGGTTGCCTGTTTATACACAGCCTCACCCACATTTGGGATTTTTACAAACCTGACAGATTGAAAAACATATAACTCAATGTGCTTTTAACTGGCGGTTCTCTTAGTGGCTTGAAAGAGGAAAAGTCATATATGTTCAATTTTCTGTGAACTGTCCAAACCTTGCCCCTTTTCTATTGGGTCTTGGCCTTCTTTTAGACACTGATCTCTGTATGAAGATTTTAATCAAACGTGCATTTGTAAGCCTTGCAACCAGAGTAAGCCTTGTCTGTTACTATCCCAGATCTCAATAGCAGTTGGACATGACTGAGACAACAGGAAAGCAGAGTTAATACTGGAAGCCTCAAAGCAACACCAGGAGTTATATAAATACCTAACTTCGGCAGCACTGACAAGCAAAGGAAATGAACCAAAACAAAGCTGCCCGCTCCCTTGGTCAAAGATGATTAGGGCAGCCTGCTGTGAGGCTAATTGGTAGTAACCAGCAAGGGTCAATCTACAAAGCAGTGGTTTAGTCACTCATCCAACAAAGAATTATTGCATCTCTACTCTGTGCCAGCTGAGGATCCAGCAGCAAATCTGGGTGTGAAGTGGCAAAAAGGGACATGGAAACATATAAAGAGGTGAGGAAGGCGCATTGTGGTATGAGTTCAGTGAGGGGACTTCAAAAAGTTCTTGGGAAATGAAATTATCAGGTAAGTTTATTTTCAAGCTAGAAGTTTTGAAATCCATGCATCTGCAAGATCTTCAAGGAGTTCGTGCAAAATGCATGTTATGAAAAGATTTTGCATGGATTTTCCAAAAATTTTACATTAAAATAAACTTACCTCCTAACTCCAATTTTCCTGGAACTTTGCGAAGAACCTTTATATCAGTGTGAGAAGGGCAGGGTACAATGTTAAGGGATAGCTTCACTGAGAAGCCAGCATCTGAGTGAAAAGTTATGAGAGGTGAGGAAGTCGGCCCATCTGGACAAAGCACATCCTAGGCCAACAGAACAAACAGCAAGTACAGAGGCCCCGAGGTGGGAACGTGTCTGATAAGTTCCTCAAGTGCCCAAAGCCAAGTAGGGGCAAGAGTAGTAAAAGACAGAATTCAAACAGTTTGTCCTGGCTTGGCGGGTCCATTCCCTGTGTTTTTGCACCACCCTCACCCCTAAAATCCACCACCCTCCTCGGTTTATGACTTCTAAAGTTAGAAGTTATGTCCATGTCCACCTGTTTGGAATGTAAATTGGCACAACATTCCACAGAGCCTTTGCCAAACTGTACCAAAAGCCTTAAGATTTTTGCATTTTCTTTGAGTAGTTTTTATTTTCTAGGATATTACCTTCATAAAATAATTATTAATTTAACTATAATAACACATATTGCTGTTTTGTTTACAACTGCCAAAACCTGCAACAATTAAACATCTAACAATAGAGACTTCTTAACTAATTAGTTGTTACACACAAACAAAAGCAAAAAGTCTGTACCTTGGGCTTCCTCTTCATTGTTCTGTACCCTCTTTGAGCACTTGAGAACTCTAAGAACAATGTATTCTCTCAGCACCACATCACTCCAATTCAGGATCGAAATTCAAATATACAGCCTAACAACTAAGAGAGCAGACTCTATTGTGAATACAGTCTGTATGTGAGTATCAGGTACCAGTATTCAAAACAAGGAACACATACTCTTAGGGTTAACAGAATATATAATACAAACAAACTGCATTTTGAGCACTCCTGTCCCACCTGTACATAAAACAGTCTAGAATTACACCCACAAGGTCATCTAACCTTCTAGGAATCAAAGGCTAGGCTTGTGTTTCTAGCCCTTAACTGGTATTTGTTTTTCAGAAGCCGTCCAGGGAAAAACCTGTTGAACAGGTGAGAATACACCCAAGGGGACTCAGAGGCCAGTGCTACACAAAGCAGCCATTGAGAGAGCAAGGATGCAAGGGGATTCCCCTTGGGAATTCACTTACCCAAGCCCAGTTAGACCTCATCCGTCTGCCCTACATTAACAAACAGCAAGAGCCAGGGAAGTACCAGCACTCCCCTGGGGTGGAGACAGAGGCACAACCGTCTAAATGCATGGTCTGCTTCACACTGTATCCTCACAATCTGCATTTCATCCTCTTGAATTTACATTTCTCTGAGGGGAAAGCCAACTGTTATCAGCCTTCTCATTCTCATACAGTGTTCTTGTTCCTTCTTTGTGATGGGGACTACTCCGTGCATGGAGAAAAGCTGGTTCACCACTGGCCTATACCCCTGAGTAGAGGTCAACAGCCCCCCTAGTTCACATCAAAAATGTCTCCAGGGGACAGGTGCTGTGGCATAGTGGGCTAAGCCTCTGCCTGTGGCGCTGGCATCCCATAAAGGCGCCAGTTTGAGTCCCAGCTGCTCCTCTTCTGACCTAGCTCTCTGCTATGCCTGGGAAAGCAATAGAAGATGGCCCAAGTCCTTGGGTCCTTGGGCACCTGCACCAGCACGGGAGACCTGGAAGAAGCTCCTGGCTCCTAGCTTAGGATAAGCCCAGCTCAGGCTGTTGTGGCCATTTGGAAAGGGAACCAGCAGGTGGAGGACCTTTCTCTCCGTGCCGACCTCTCTCTGTAACTATCTCTCAAATAAATAATAAAAATATTCTTAAAAATTGTCTCCAGGCATTGCCAACATCCTCTGAGGGGCAACGTCATTCCAGCTAAGAAGTTGTGAGCCAGCATATCCTCTAGGAAGATTGCTAATGCTCAGGACAACTCATCCTTGAACTTAACAAAAGGCAAAGTGGTTTCATCATGCCCTGCAGGAAGTATCAACCCACAGGCTCAACTCTTGGCCAGACGTAACACATGGAAATGCATTCTAAAATCTTCAGTCTGGTGTCCTCTTGTGGCAACTTCGTCTGGTTGTCCATCTCTCCCCCACTACACCTTGAGTACTGTAAGGGCAAGATCCCCCTCCTGTCCAGGTCCACACAGGCCTTTTCACACACTGCTAATGGATAAAAGCACCCTGTACATGACTACCATCTCATTAGATGTACCAGCAGTAAAAGTGAGTTTAGTGTTGTCAAAATTACCCAAGTAGATACCCAGTATTACTTAAATTGCAAGTAAATATAACCTATATGAATTTATGTAGACAGCCAGGTACCATAATTCCCATACAAACTGAAATTTAAGAATCACTAAAGGGAAAAACAGGAGGTAAGTCTACACAGCTGGAAAGACATTCCAACCATTATGGGATCTATCAGATCCCCAGAGACAGCTAGGGAATGTGTGGACAATTCCAAAACTGTTCCTACTTGTCTGTTGGACTTATTTTATTCTATTTATTATTAAGATTCTCTAACCTTAATGTGCATGTTCAATGTCTTATTTATAATTGGGTGAATTAAATGAGATAGAAGAGTCACCTCTTGGGAGTTAGTGAAGTCTGCTTATCAGGTGCACTTGACTCTACACCTGCTGGGCAAGTCCATTCTTCTGCCCAGTGTCTCCATAGCTATGGATCACAGTCCCAGGTAACACAGAGAAATCACTGTTGATTGCCATCCAGAAGCCCATCTTTTGCTACACAGTGTACCTTGCCCAAAGTCCTCCACGCCTCTATTTGTGTTTGAAGTTCACTCACACTGTATTTTTTCCTCTTAAAGATCTGTTACAGCTCTACACGTTTCTCCAGGCAGCTTCCTTAGTTCTTGGGCTTTAAAATGTTCCTAAATACCTGA